CACACACACACACACACACACACACAGGCGGGGGAATACGTGGAAGTGATGGGGGAAGCAGCTCAGTGCCTGTGTATCTTACAGTTCGGCCCCAGAGACCATCGACCTGTTAACACTGTAGATGAGCGTGAAGCTCTCGCAATAATACTCGATGACAGACATCTATAGAAGGTCACGACCTCTGTACATCTGGGCCATGAACGCTCACATCTGTTACTGTGTTGTATAAAACTGTTATTGACTCGACAGTTAAAGGGGATGTATCATAGAAAACAGGATTTTCCTTGCTCTTAAAAGAGATTGATGGACTATGTAGACATACTCCAACATTCACAACGCAAAGCTCCCTCTGCAGCCCACAGGGACTATTTAGTGAAACTAAGCAGCAAAAACAGCTCAATCAGAAATCTATGAGCACATTAACATATGGCCATCTACGCTGATGCATCAACACCTACTCAGTATTCAACTTGGCCGTGTTGCTGAACTTTACCAGTAGGTAATTTATATATAGAAGTCCTAAAGGAACAGTAGCAAAAACAGGCTGTTTATTTGTAATGACAGTGATTTTGTTGATGGAGGTCATAGTAGAGTACTGATGGTTATTGCAGCCGTTCCTATTGCTGGATGATAATGTTATTGGTGGACCACAGATTTAAAAAATCTGATTACGAATAGGATGTAATGGTGGAAAAATTATAATTTTGCAAGGAAGCTTGACTCTAAAAATGAACATTAACTGGAGAAATAGTATTTAATATATAAATATTATTTATAAATATATATTATTCAAAGTATGCATAAAAAAAAATTCAAATTACACGCATATATATTCAGGGTTCTAACTGAAATACAATGTTTACAATTAGTTTACAATGAAGTACTAAAATTACTAAAACTGAAAAATGAGAAAAGCTACACAATTACAGAAACTTAAATTAAAATCAAAGCTAAAAATATAAATATACAATTAATTAAAATATGAATTTATAAAAAGGAATAATTACAATTTTTTTTTTTTTTTTTGACTTTTGTGACTCCATGATCTTTTTAAGGCTTACAATGTTTCTGGGAAACACAGTCATGGACTGAAAGGCACACAACTCTAATTTTGATTAGAAATGTTGTGACTTCTTGACTGGATTAATCAAATGCTTTAGTAGAGACTGTATAAACTCATGCTTACCCAAGACCTCAGCAGTGGCCATGATTTCACATGTATACATGGCAGCCATCAGCCGCTGAGGTTTAGCTTGGAAGGCGAATCTGCAGGCGTCCTTCATAGCAGCGATGAGCTGCCCTGAGAATGGCCCATAACAGTCCACCGAACCCCCGGCAGCCTCCACTCTGCTCCTGCTTCGGTTAGAGCTCGTCTCGTGAACGTCAGAACTCTCACTTTGGTCGTCATTACTTGGCTCTGCAGGTTGGGAATCCTCATTGACTGAGTCTTGCTGAGCTAGAGGTGGTGCAGAAAGCTTCATGTGCCAGGTCTCGACAGAGAAGCAAACCCCCATCAAAGGTTCCTCACACATGGGACCAGAAAGCGCGGCCAGCTGGAAGCCACTCACAATGCTGTTGTCAAAGTCTCTGATCTCGGCCCTTTCGGTTTCCTTCTCTCGTTCCAGACACTGCCACACGGAGGGTCTCCGGTAGCCCTCGATATTGTTGAGGAGAATATTTGGCCCACACCGGCGCGGACCAAATGCCCAGATACGCTCCACGGCTTCCTTCCATTTGTGGCCTTGCAGGTTGCTCTCCAACTTCACCTTGAAATCCTGGATGTTCTCCAAGATTTTCTGGTTGATGTCCAGAGTCTTGTCCTCCCAGGCGAACAGGCTGAACTGCTCCATTGTGCGGATGAGCTCTACATTGTCCTCCAGAAGGCGGGTGACTTCCTCAGGAAGAGGAATAGCCCGCACCCCGACCGTGGCCATCTTGTTAGAGGTGGTGAGCGTGACCAGACCGGTGGAATCCACCTGAATGCCTTCGGGATTCTTCATTTGTTCCTCCTTGACCTGGTGAATCACCGCCACCTTCTGCTGCTTTCCCAGGTCCTCGTTCACCATGTCCATTTTGGGAGGCCGGATCACAGTCTCGCGGAACGGAATGATTGGTTCGGATGCACTGATTTCAATTTTAGCAAACCTAGAGGATAAAATGGCAAATAACAATCATGATAACAAAATAAACACATAAATAAATAAATAAATAAATAAATAAAACATGCACGGTCAAAAGTACTTATGTCATATATAGATATTTTTGCACTGTAAATAAAAAAAACTAAACTAAAATAAAATAAATATTTACTTAATTTTAATTTTCTTAATTTATATAGCAAACAATTTATTTTATTGTTTGCTTACTTATATTATCTGATTAGCATGAATATTATTTAACTGACTAAATTTATATACACACACACACACACACACACACACACACACACACACACATACACACACACACACTATATAAAATATATAAATGTATACAAAATTTTAATTATTTATAATTATAAATTAATTACAGATTATATATAGCATAATAATTACTTAAATAGCAATATACAAATATATGTTATATTTTAATATACTGTGTGTTTGTGTATATATATATATATATATATATAAATAAATACACAAGCAGTATATTAAAAAATATAAATGATATTACATATATATTCAACAATATTTACTTTAGCATAAAGCAGTATATATTTAACATAACATTTATAACAATTATAATATGACTTACATTTAAAAATACATATATCATTATTATTAGTATTATTTTTAAAAAAAGTAGTGTGTTCAATAGTCTTAATATTACATATTAGGCTTTGCTGTATTGACATTGCTATTGAGAAACCCAATATCAATACTGACATTTAGTATTGTGACAACTCTAAAACACTGAATCACTGCACTAGACTACATTAGATTCAACTTTATTGTCTTTGTGCAGAGCACAACTTCAGAGCCCATGAAATTCAGTAACTACCCGGGGGGGGGGTTGTATAAAAAGGCTTACTTTTCAAACTAACTGGGAGGACATGAAAGAAAATTATTGCCGGCACTCAAGACTGGCGTTCAGCCAACGGTAAAAGCCGAGCTCCGATTCTCCAGCAAGTCGTTATGGCACAGTAAAATCTAATTTACAATGAGCCATTCACGCAGAAATTATTCAAATACACATTAATCTCTCTCTGTCTGCGTGAGGAAACAGACATAAACATTCTGCTGGAAGATACAAGCGCATTGATTCCTACGAATATCACACACAGAGTCACAATCCAGGCTTACTCAATATGCGTTATGCTTGCGTATAATGCATGATTGGATACATGATAACGGCCTAAATCTAATGAGGGACCTAAACACTCTGGGTCACTGGTTAATGGACACAGTTGGACACTTGGGTCTCATGGGTCACTAAGCTTTGTAAAGTGGAGCAGACGCTTGACATGATTGCTGTCTTCGTGGAGACATTCAGTAATCCAGTTAGATCCAGACGGCCACAGAACGGTGTGGGAAGCAGATAATCCAGTGGTAAATGTTTACTAGAAACCTCCCGAGAGCCGTGACTGTGCTGTCTGCAGGCGCTGCTGTCTCACTGCTCTCAGCTCCTGGTGAGATACGATTCACACAGTTAGCTTCCTCTCTCCCTGGCTGCTTCTTCAACCTCATTATTTTTTGTTAGTTCCTAACTCAGTGTTTCTCAACCTGTACGGTTTCATGCACCTCCACGGCCCCATCAGTAAGGCTTTTACAACAAAAATGTGTTCCTGTTAAGTCAAATTACACTAGATATCATGTAGCATTATCATTAACATGATTCAAATGGCCATAATTACAACAACAACACACTTATACTAAAACGGGGAAGTCGTGGCCTAATGGTTAGAGAGTCGGACTCATAACCCAAAGGGATTGTAGGTGGGGGGAGTGAATGTACAGCACTCTCTCCCACCTTCAATACCATGACTGAGGTGCCCTTGAGCAAGGCACCGAACCCCCAACTGCTCCCCGGGCGCCGCAGCATAAATGGCTGCCCACTGCTCCGGGTGTGTGTTCACGGTTTGTGTGTGTTCACTGCTGTGTGTGTGCACTTTGGATGGGTAAATGCAGAGCACTAATTCTGAGTATGGGTCACCATACTTGGCCACATGTCACTTCACTTCACTCACTTTTTTAAACGATCAGTAAAGTGGATAAACACTCACCACACAACACTCTCAAACTGTTTATTATTAAACTTGCGATTAATCGCATGATTGTCATGAGTTAACTTGTAATTAATCGCAACTTAATCGCACATTTTTAGCTGTTCTAAATGTACCTTAAATTAATACATTTGTTTGCCTCTCTGTTCCCACATACTGTAATTTGATGCAGCCAAATTCTCAATAAAACCGTTTTCATTGTTATATTTTACTGTTTCTGTTGTCAGACAACCAAATTAATATGAAATAGTGACTGAAACGCGACCCATTAAGACTACATAACGAGCTTTCCCTTCCAATCTGCACAAAAATCCTGATTTATAATCAAGCCGTTGTCTGATGAAATCAAATACACGTAAGATAAAGATAATAGCTGTGCTGTGAATTTGGCTATACTTGCATGTAAAATTAGAGAAGCAACGATCTGGGCTGCGTTTCCCAAAAGCATCGTAAGCTTAAGTACATCATACATCCATTGAAACCAATGGAGCTACGATCAACTTAAGCTTACGATGCTTTTGGGAAACGCATCCCTGGTTTAACTAAAAGCGCTGCTCCTCTCAGCCACTCGCTGAACAGAGCAGACGCAAAACATCGCGCTTGCAGTACCAGCGAGTCTCAGAAACTAAATAAGGTTTGTCCAATGTGTTATGTATTGTTGCTAGGCGCTATTTTGAAGGAAAAAAAAAAGTCTCTGAATCTAGCGACAAAGTCGCTAAATTGGCTGTCAGCATCTTTATTTCTCCAACTACGGGCTGGGCAACGGGTCAAACTGGAAATATGTGCTGCATTAATCGTGCGTTAATAAAATTTGTGCTGTTATGAGTTTGCGTTAACACGTTAATTTTGACATCTCTAATATATATATATATATATATATGTATATAAATAAATATATATGCACAGTGTTGGGGGTAACGCATTACAAGTAATGCAAGTTACGTAATCAGATTACTTTTTTCAAGTAACTAGTAAAGTAATGCATTACTTTTTAATTTATAATAAAATATCTGAGTTACTTTTTCAAATAAGTAACTCCAGTTACTTTTTTTTCCCCATTCATTGACTGACAGCTCTCCTGTCCCCATGTTGAGAGAAATTGGGAGTAAGTGCAGAGGCGCTGTGTGAACATGATGTTACTGTAGTTCTAGACTAAATGTGAACATGCATTTACTCATCTCACTTGCACAAAAACAGATTCAGTATTCCTCAAGATGAATGAAAACAGTGCAATGCAAACCTGCAATAATTAAATGTTTTAAATAACACAAATATATTTTATGCATTTAATCCCATTTTATTAATCAATATCTTTGCTGCTGACCTTCGATGATCCAATTCAGCCATATTAATAAGCAAAAATGGCTTAAAATACACATGACAATTGTTTTTCTTTCTTTTTGTTTCATTGCTGAAGTGTCAAACTTTCTTCTCCTGCATTCTATGCTTCATGCAATCCAGAATTTATATTGATGAGAAAAAGTAACGCAAAAGTAACGTAAAGCATTACTTTCCATAAAAAGTAGCTAATTTATATTAAAAACAAATTAGCAAGCCCAGCCCAGATGAGAAAAAGTAACGCAAAAGTAACGTAACGCATTACTTTCCATAAAAAGTAGCTAAGTAAAGTGTACCTACTCTAGTTTCCATTTAGATGCACATATTCAGTGAATTTTATTGGTCTTAATAAGTGTCATATTAATATCAGAACTGCATAATAAACAAGCTTTTCAATGACACAATCACTAATAATGGGCGAAACAAACTCAAGCGATATGTTTCCTTGGAATACATCAATACTCTACACATCAGAGAGCGTAACGTCTCACTGTCTTCTGCGTTGAGGCAGTTAGGCATTTTCTGCTGAGGATGTGACGTCATCATGCCGTGACTTCATTATGAAGGGCCTGAGGACAGGCGCTGTGTCAGAGGTCTGGACCTGTTTTCATTACCAATATTTTAATAGAGAGTTTTTCCAGTGAGGTGCGTGCTTTTGTTTTTATTTTAAATAATAAAAATATACATTTTATAAAAACATATTTCCTAACTCTTACTGACCTCTCTCTCTCTCTATATATATATATATATAAAAACTCACATCTTTAAATTGTCCTTTAAAGCATCGCTGCAACATTTAATGTGGCACTTTTGAAACAAATTCAGTGTCTAACACGCACGCAAGCACGCACACTGCTATAAACGATGTTCCCTGTTATTATACATAATCTGTAGGTCTCAGTTGTTTGTGTTCACTGTAATAATTTAATCATAAACAAGGCACAGTTGCATGTTAAACTATTTATAAATTTTATGAATAAAAAGGTGACAGAATAATACAATACTTGCATTCAATATTCATATTACATTCAATCAAATTGTTAGACTAGAAACATTGCTAGGACTTATTCAATAGTCTACCCAAATCTAATCTAAACATGACTTTCTCATGACTGTCAAGTTGACTAATTTTTTGAAGAAGAACGAGGAAAAAAGCAGGTGGGATAGACGGAGTAAAGAAAGAATGAAAGACAGCAGGCGAATATTAACAGGAACATATCTCAATCAATGGGGAGTTTAAGCATGTTTACATCTTGTGCATTAGCCGGAGCTTTTCCAAACCATGACAAGATGGACTCCATTACAGTCCAGCCAAATTACACCTGAGGGATCTCTAGCCCCATCAACGGCCGTTAAACGCGCTTGAGCTGAGAAAGCTTTGGAGGAAATGTTAAAAACAAACTGATGAGTTGTTCCTTCACGACGCCTGAAAACAGGACAAAATAACACTGCGAGAGACGCGTTAATTTACAGTCCCGCAGCTCGAGGCAGAGCACCAGATGGGGAGTGTGTGAGAGCTCATTTGTGTCTCCTTACACCATTACGAGGTTTTTTAGTGAAGGAACGCTGGTGTGATTTCACAAGCCAATCACTGTTCTAGCAGAGCCAAGTCAGGATCGTCCAATTTAATCTACATCCACAAAACATGACATATCCCTCGCTGGCTTTCTCACTTCTTTGTGTTAATGTGACACTTTTTCACTCGATTTGTCCTTCGCTATCTCTCGCCAGTCTTAACTCAAACTGATTTTGTAGTACTATCAATGAGACGAAGGACAGTTTCTGGAACAACAAAAATATTACAAACCGTGACACGCAGCCAACACTGTACCGAAGCAGCATGTACAAATCACAACAAAAGTCATTCTGGTGGCTTTCCAAACATCCTGGCCAATTTTATTCTCATATGAAGCATAACAGAAGAGCTTACCAATTACTAGTCACCTAATTTACATTTAAAACGCAGCAACCAGTTGCATAAACAGTGTCAGGAGTTATCAAACTTGCCCAAATTACATAAAGAATAACTTGATTCATTTGCATTTTAGGTGACAATTTGCATTGCGCCTCAAAACAAACGCACTGAATTTCTTTCCGTCTTCGAATGAGGACTGGTAATGTATTCATGAAACAATTTTTTGGCCAGCTGATATCCAAATGAGCGAGGATGCTGCAGTTTTTGTGGGAATGGACCCAGTGGAGTACGATAAAGTCCACTTTCCTCATCTCATTTCTGAACTGTGTATTTAAATCAGGTCTTTACCCTGATAGCTCAAATATGTTGTTGGATGTCCACTTTCTGCATTTTCATCTGGAAGTATTTTCTGCGAAAATGTTCCCTGTTCGAGGTTTATGATCTAGAATGCAATTTCAATTTCCCTCAATGCACATTTGCACTGCAAAAATGACTTCTTAAGTTTTCAATTGGGATTTTTTGGACTTGTTTCATAGATTTTTTGATATTGTAAATTGAAAACAATCCTTCAACACTGCACTAGCTATCAAGACTAATTTTATATGAATGCATCTTTAATACAAGTGTATTTGGTCAAACTTCACTGGCACATGTTTCACTTAAAGTATAAAAAAAGATAAAAACGAGTGGAAAAGTTATGTGTAAGACAAAATACACATAACTTCAAAATACAATCGCATGCATTGTATTGCTTCTCAAATTAATTTAACTTGTTTACAGGATTTTTAGATGTTTTAATTGGAAAACAAAACAGAAACACTGAATAAGAATATGATTTAGTTAGATGATGACAATATTAGATGAGCTGAATTGAATTCATTCAGGATGATCCCCATTAGTGTATTACAGTAATGATAATTTGCATATGTTGTCATGAAAACACTGCCATTAAAACATTACAAATCGGGCTTATATATACACTGTAAAAAAAAGATTTTTCAAGGTTGCAAATAAAACGATTATTTAAGTACCTTTTACAAGAAAATGCTATTTTAGTCTTTTTAATTTGTCTTTCAAAAATGACTAATATAATATAACAATATAATATAATCATTATTATATATTATCTTTTTTATTTTTAAGTAAAATACGACTTGTAAAAATAAAACGTATTTCTTCATGAGACTGGCCTAATTTGAACTATTAGACAACCTATACTAGAAATAACCAAATACAATTCCACAAAATTGCAAACAATCAATTGACGAATTGATTATCATTACATGTCTTAAGACCCACAGTCTGACCTGTATCGAAATATCGAAGAAAAAGTCCACTAATGATATGCGAGGGCAGATGTGATGGATTAAGCAGCTAACGCTCCAACTCCAACCAATATTTAGCATTTGGTGCTGTTAATTTATGCAGATATGCTGTTTATACAAGGTAAAACTCAAGGGCAAGCTAAATGCACCCTGGTGTCTTATTAAAATGGGAGAAAACATCTTTTAATTATGAGGGTATATGTCAAATCCAACATCAACACACCAGCTCTAGGCTATTCAGTTTAACATATGACATTAATGCTTGATTCGCAATGAATTAAAAATATAAAACCTCCTATTGTAAAGTATTGCAATTTAACACTGTAATACAGTGTATATAAAGTGCTGATTATCCAATCAGAATAAAGCATAAAAGCAATGTTTTTCTCAAAAGCATCTGAACTGCCACATTCACAATGTCACAGCAGCCAAAAAAACCTCCAAACAATCCAAGCTAAAAAAACGGCAACTTGTCTGAGTCATGAATAATTTGCCGAGCCAGTTTGTGTTGAGAAGAAGCTCTAGAGGTGCGAATCAGTCTAAGCTCTGCTATAGTACAGGAGGCACAACGCTCAGAGACCGACATCAATAGATACTGATCCACCACCACCACCACAGTGAGACACACATAGAGAGAGAGAGAATGATGGATGACTGGAGCGATACAGTGAGAGAAAGAGAAAAAGTACGAGATGATGGAGAATGGGGAAAGGAAAGGAGTAGAAATCTTTATTCCAACACAACACAGAGATCTGAATGTTTTGACATTCATTCATATCACATACTAAAGCATGCAAATCAAACATGAAATAAAAGTGGACCCTATTTAATTTTTCAAGTTGTGTTGTAAATGTTTCATCAGTGCATGTTAGTCTAAAGAAAAGATTAGATCAAAATCTAATGATATTCTCTGCTTATGAAATGACCTTTTTATTTCCAAAGCCATATGGGTGTAGTAAAATATTATTAACCAATAATATAATAGCCTTTTTTCACAATCTGATCAAACCCCTAAGCGTACCCTGCACTAATATCCAGAAATATGCCACATTATGGAGGTCGAATGTGTTGTCAGTGCTTTATGTTGTTTAGCACAAAAAAACAATCATATACAGCTCACACATGAATAAAACACAGCAGAACCCAGTCCAGGGTGGGCATCTACATGGCAGGTGTCATATTCTGTCTTCTGTTCTAATATGCAGTTTAATTTACCTGCAGTAAAGTTAAATCTAAATTATCAATCTAATTATAAAATTGTGTTTCTACTCCAATTCGTTGTTAAAATGTAATGATTTACACAGTGGCTGGCATAACTTGTTTTCATGACAAATTTATTTAAATATACATTAAATAATTAAGACATTACTAACAGGTTAAGTAAAATTATATAGGCTAATACAGTGCATATACTTAGCAAAATGCTCTTTTCTAGAGTTAATTTCTCTAGTAAAAAAAACAAGCTGTGGACACTGATTGAGGTAAATGTAAAGGTAATGTTCACAAGCTGTTTTATTGACGTCTTTCTGTGGTTGGAACACTGTTTGAGCGTTTACATGAGACATGAGACATTCATTCATGTTTATTTTGTGTTATAACTAGTAGTAAAGAGGAAGGGATGATCGTGTTCATTTATATATGTGTGTGTGTGTGGCTCCTCACCTCTCTCTCAAGTCATCCAGGCAGCGTTGTAGATGCACTTCTCCTGCAGTGACCAGGACATGCTCTCCTGTCTCCTGAATCAACACTTCGGCACATGGGTCGGCCTGGTTCAGTAACCTCATCCCACGCACCAGCTTCGGCATCTCACCTGCACATACACACACACACACATTTGTGTGAACATTTGAGTCTAGATTGTGTTTTGTGAAGCTGTCAATGGGATGCAGCTTTGTTAAGAAGCTGATGAAGGATGGAGCAGCGTAAACTACATCTACCCGACTACAAACATGTGTCAGTGCACAAAACACTAAGTCATTTCACAAACAGGGAGTGTTTAAAAAAATAAAGTAGCAAAAAATGTCCCGTTTAAGGTTCAAAGAGTCATAACGGGTCATAAAAACTAAATTATGACTGCTTTGGGTGCAAAGACCTAACCTCAGGGGAGGAAAAAGATTTAAAAAAATTATATAACCCTTTAAAACAACATCACATTCTCTCCTTATATAAAAGTGCTGTCTGACATCAAAGTAAGTTTCTGTTCATAATGTAGTGACAGCAGTAACACTATGACTATCAGAGCGCTTCTAATAAAGAGCGTGTTCACCAGCAATGGCCTCTCCTGACCTAAAGGCAAGCTGAAGTTACGGTTATGAAACTAAACCCTGAAACAGCGCTCTGGGACAGTGAACGCCCTCACAATGAGCTCTTGTGTTTGTGTGTGATCGTGCAATCCAGATCAGACAGTTCTTTGGTGTGCTAAACTGGGAAACATTTAACTTCCTCATTACAGCTGTGCTCTTGACTAATGCGTCCCACATGAGCGAATGTGATGTTTTGAGAAGCACGGGGTTTCCGTGCCATCTCTGACACTGCTAATGAGAATCACAACACCACCGCTGAGTGAACCTGGAGACGTCATCATTAAAACACCTTTTTTGAGGGATAACTGCACCTTAGAGAGCCATGAGACATGACGATTTAATCTGTATGCTCATGCATCTTTTTATGGTTAGTCACTGCTCTGTATCTGTGTGATTTGTGAGCTGTGAACTGCCTACATAGGCAATATATTAAGGCATCACAGGTATGCTAAATAATGCAAAACCTGCTCCAAAAGACAGACAGCATAATAATATTGCCTTCTAAGATACCTCATTTTGGGAAGATTGTAAGGTAGTATTGCATGTATCTCTCATGGAGAAGTCAATGCCATAATGTACTGAAACGCATTTTACGGAGGACGAGGACTGTTTCCTGTGAGAGTAGCCTACAATGCCGGTGTTCCGGTGAATTCAGTTCCCCTGTTTCCCCTTCGGCGCGCATGCTGACCCTATACAGTCTATGATGCTGACAAATAATGCTGACTCACAGCCTGTAAGTACGTTTTTATATTTAAAGGATTTGCCACTGATGATTCAAACGTGAGTTTTGAGCGGTGTAGAGTAGCACTAGTTGTTTGTCATTTCTCAGATCACAAATGGAGACATGGTTTTATGTTTACGCGGCGCGATGCAACAACGCGTAAAAAGACAGTATAAGTCATTATAATCCGTAGTTATGTCCCCACCGGATGCAACAAATGCCTCGTTTATAATGTTTTTTTTAATGTTTTTGTCTCGTTGCTCCATCACAGTATGATAAGTGGCGTAACATTTCCGCCACACGCTTGAGGTATTCGGCCAATCACAATGCACTGGATAGCTGGCCAATCAGAGCACACCTCGCTTTTCAGACGGATGAGCTTTGTAAAAATATACGGTTTCAGAAAGGCGCGGCATAGAGGAGAAACAATAATGTACAGTATGTGGAAAATAATGTGTTTTTTTAACCTTAAACCACAAACATTTCATTAGACCAAATAAACAAAATAATGTTCTTTTTTAGCAACATCATATGACCCCTTTAAGTGAGGAAAAAAAACAACAACAAGATGGTGAAAAAATGTGATAGAAAAATAAAAAAATAACAAAATAAAATAAAATAATCAATCAAATAACAAAAACTCAAATAGAACATGGCACTTGCAACAAAAAGATCATGGGTCTATTGGAATGCATACAACTGAAAATAAATCACTCAATAAATAAATGCAATGCACTTTTTACATTGTTACAAAAAATATATATTTCAAATAAATGCCATTCTTTCTATTCATCAAAAAAAAAATTGCATCATGGTTTTCCCAAAAATATTACGCACTACTCAGCATAACGGTTTTAAACATTGATTTGAAAAAAGTTTTTAAAAAAAGCAAATCAGCATATTAGAATAATTTCTGAAGGATCACGTGACACTGACACTTTGTATCACAGGAATAAATTATAGGGATGCACGATATTGGATTTTTGAGATATTTTTCAACTCATTTGGGCCGATACAGATATATTTCCTTTTGTTTGGAAACAACACCAAGTCTCTCCTGTGCAGAAATTATAAGCAAAATATTTTTAATTTTGGTTAGTTTTTAACAAGAACTTATTTGTTAGAATTAAATAAACAATAATGAAGGTTTTTTGACAGTACATTGAAGCTTTGAAAATAACTATAAATAAACCATATATCAATCGCTACTTTTTTTTTAACCCTAACATTTTATTTAAAGATTTTACATTTGTAGATGGTCTAAAGCAAAAGAGTTGTAAACATTCTAAAAATATTTTAGAGCTTATGATTTGTTTAAAAAATAAAACATATTACACATAAATTAATAAATCAGTATATATAAAATTATTTAATTTAGAAGTATCATGTTTATCTTTTTTTTCATGTAAGCTATAGCTTCTGACCTTTAAATCAAAACACACTCCTTACAGAACTGGCATTAGGACCCGGGGTAGGCTGCCGCTGCTGCCACTGCACGTGCTATTACTGTTTACTCTAAAATTAATAAATCAGTATATATAAAATTATTTAATTTAGAAGTATCATGTTTATCTTTTTTTTCATGTAAGCTATAGCTTCTGACCTTTAAATCAAAACACACTCCTTACAGAACTGGCATTAGGACCCGGGGTAGGCTGCCGCTGCTGCCACTGCACGTGCTATTACTGTTTACTCTATCGCACACTGTCATTCTGTACATGCTTTCACAGATTAAATGCAGCGATCCAAAACAGTCGCTGACAAAACATCATTCAGACAAAACTTTGCTTCAAGAATGAGCCACACTGCTGACGTGATCTAATCGCTAGCACACCCTGAGCACATGTGAGTTAACGCATTCCTCTTATCGGCAAGACATATCGGCATAATTTTTCATATCGGGCTGATGCCGATATTTACATTTAAAGCCATTATCGGCGGATTCTGATATCAGTCCGATAATATCGCGCATAAATCACATTTTAAATATACAATCAAATAAAAACAGTTACGTTATAATAAAATAAAATGAATAAATAAAAAATGCAGACCCCAAAGGGAATGGTAGTCTGTGTGCGTAGATAAATATAGTACCAATAATACCAAAAAGCATAGATACACATAGTTCAAATTAATTGTAAAAGTTTATCCAATATTAATACGTGCTCTGTATTGTTAGGCTTATCAGCTCACAAGATTTTATAACAGAATCAACACAGATACTTGGAAAAAGATACTAAGCTTACTAAATATACACCCTAAAAGTTTCTACATTCAGAAGCATGACTAGCTCCAGAGCAGAGAAAAAATTACAGTTTTTTTTACTACCGAGTCATCGTGATGATTCAATGCACTCTTCTACGCTTTTTGCTTATCAGTTATGTTTTCTTTATTTATCCAACCGTCCCAAAATGCTTTACCTGTTGCACTGCTTTGCGAAATGCTACTCAAGATGTGTTTAATGCGTTCTGTGCTTGACTGGTTTTGCTCATAAACACGTACTTGGATGTTTGGGCTCGACTGCTACTCTGACGATGGGCGTAGCTTCAAAGTTGAGTGGCGTGAAGGGCGGGCAGGCCGGAGATGTTGAGATGGTGGCCGACTTGAGAATGAATTCCTCCATTCCACCAATACCTGCAGAGATACAACAAACAGCATTAAACAAAGCTGCATTCAAAAGACCAGTCAAGCGCTAGGATTTTAAACCTCAGCGCTCCAATAATGTTCCATAATTTTTTTTTTTACATTAAACATTATTATTTACACAACGGCTGTGTGAGTAAGAGTGTAAGCATGTGTTGTTGCTGGAAAAAGAAAAACACACTTTGGAGAACTCTGACATTCACATTAATAACAGACATGATTGCAGGGCTGTGATGGAAATGGAGGACCCAAAATTAATCTGGCCCAGGGAAGCATCCTCCAAAAAATTGTGCTTAGTTGTGAAAGGAATATAGAGTTTGTGTGACCGAATGGAATTGAAGCGTAGTTCAGGCAGACCACTAATCTCTACCATATCAGCTGACGCTCAGCTGATCAATTACTCCACCTACTCTAATCAAGAACCGTATTTAAGACATTCAAATGCATGCTCTTCAGTCGGTCGCACAGACATTTGCACCCACCTCCACCCCTTCACCTCCTAGCAGCTCCATAAACTGCTGTGGGTTCTTCTTAGAACTATTATGACTGAATTCATGTCACTCTCTTTATTTTGCAATTGTTGTATTTTCTGCATATGTGCGTAGCTAAGAAATATCTGGTTATTGCCAGGCTGGGGGATTCACACCTAAGGATGGATCTTAAACTTTTATAAGATGGATAGGTCCGGTCCTTGATTCTGATTGGCTGAGCCACGTTCAAAGCTGTTGTAAATTACTCTACAAACACACACCTTTTTTTACTTTGTGTGTTGCTCGGCAAACACTTTGTTGCAACCACAACTGTTTCTGAGGAACTACATTGTTTGGTGAAAGAATACTGTTTTTATTATCATTACACTTTATTTGCTCTGTATTATTTTGTGAAACCTTACTACATATATGGAATAACCGTTTTATAAATGCAATAAGCCCTGTGAAGCCGTGGTTTACAGTGAATTTATAACAGCTAAGGGGGTTTTAGGCACTCCGCTTAAATTCACTGTAAACCACGGCTTCACAGGGCTTATTGCTTTAATGTATGGCAGCTGAACCCCTTAAAGCCTAAGCTTTCGCCAAATTCAAGAATTGCCAATAAATAAATATTATTATTTTCAAAAGTGGTCCTGACTGAAATAAACATTTATTTGCTAGAAAATAAACCGAACAAGTAGTCCAGTGGTTCTTGTTTTTTCAAACTCATCTTTTAATAAACCAAACAAAATGCCAACATTTTAAAACTTATTATCAGTATTGTTAAACACAAATTTAACATGCTGCTTGTAAAGATATTCATTGTGATATTGAGATTTATTAAAGAATAAGTAATTTCAATTGAATAAAAAAATATGAATATATTAGAAAGTGTAACACATCAGTAATTAAATGTATTAAACATTTTGGTAACACTTTACAACATGCTTTTTAAAAAAAAAAATAATAATGATAATAATACAAATGAAACTAAAACAAAATAAATAAATAAATAAAAAGCTACCAGCAAAGTAAATCAATTTGGAGAGATGATGATTGGTGAAATACAGAAAACTAGAGACCGATAATGGATTATGAATATACCGTAGATAGACTTCTCACAATTATCTTACTGAGAGTTTCTTCATTCCTGAAGTAATTCCCTCAATTCTTTCTTTTGCACTGCACATGCAAAAGTTCACAGCAAGACCCTCTATTTAACACACTTCTTACATTTTCTACACAAAAAAAATAAAAGTTTCAGGACTGACTGGTGGGCAGAAATCAGAGGAGATGCATTCATATAAAAACTGACTGAGAGGGACAACTGAATGAAGTGCTTTAGAGGCTCAGCAGGACGACCATTTCACTCGGCCCTCAAATCCCATTCAGACAAATTACATCAGGTCCAAGAGTGTTTCCATCAGGAGCCTCAACCCGAGAGGTTAGTTTGTTCAGCCAATGAAGCAGCCATGAGTCAAGAGCTTCTGTCACAGGCCGGGCTTTTTAAGGCCAATTCCAGCCAGACTCACAATCGTGTTCATGAGCAAACACCTGGAGGCTGTAAAGTCAGTAATAAAAATGGCTTAACGGTAATCACAGCGCAGGCCTGCGGAGGCTGAGAGGCGTATGAAGTCTTAAGTCTGACGGTTCGGGCGTTGCTGGCTCGTCGGGTCGATCTCTCCCGCAGGATCAGTATCCATGCATTCAGAGCATGACATCATGGATCGACTAGCAAACGTTTATTATAGCAGCACCGCCGTGCCGACATACCAGATATAGAAAAATAAACCATGTATACGGGGTCAAATGTGCATAAGCATTAAATCTGCTAAATAAATTTTAAACGGAAGGGTTGTTAATGCAAAGTGTGATGCAGAGTGGATGAATTGCTCATCGGAGGGATCGTACGTGTCCTGCTTTGACATTCTTTCTATAAGTGTTTGCATATGTCTGGAATAGGGCACACGTTTTTCAGGGCAGGATGTTGCACAGATGCCTCAAGGCATGATAAAATTAGACTGTCTCTTTAGTTTAGAACACACAGACTAGTTTAGAATGCAGTATACAATCAGATCCTGGAAAAATCGTAATGCTTGATTCTGATTGGTCAATCGTGGCATTCTAAGGTTAACTATTTGTGTATAATGAGAATGGTATGATATTGTGAATTGATGTCTTTCAACAACTTTTTTGAACATCTGCCATTGGTTGGAACAAACAGAAGGCCCACCCCCAAATGTAAACCATTGGTTAAACCACTGTTGCCATGTAGGTTTTTGTTGTGATGCTCAAACAGTCACACTTTTAATCAGAATTGTCCTTCAGAATGCTGATTGACAGTTGTCTATCCACATTAAGCTAAAATACATGAAAATATTGGATCATCATACTACCATATGTTTCTCTATCCCATTCCAATGCGTATAGAGAAATATAAATGATTCCTGGAATGGTTCTCTAAAAACAATGTGGCACCACATTGTTAAAACTGTTTGTCTGTGCATCACGACCAAAACGGCACTGGTCAAACCAATGCTGTAAGTTTGGACGCAGGAATACTTGTTTGAAAACAGTCATTGACTGAATGGAATATCATATATTCTTATTATTCCTGCCATATAAAGATGTAACAAATCAGTGGTGTTATTATTAACTAATAAACTATTAAAGTGGTTTTCACTAATTGAAATAAAGCTAAAATAAAACAAAATAGAAATATTAAATGAAAAACTTTATAATTAAAAAATAAATAAAGTTAAAAAGAAACATAAATTAAACATTTTTTAAAAATGTTGCTTTGGGAACTATAACTGAAATAAAATAAGTTCAAGCTGAAGTAATACAATTAATACAATATAATCAAATAAATTGAAGCTAAATAGATAAATAATTTTGAAAAAAAAAAGTCAAAAGCACTAGAAAATTAAAATGTAAACTGAAAATATAAATATAAAAGCCAATTCAAAATATGAATGAATACTATAATAGTATTTAGGGTAACACTTTACAATAAGGTTCATTAGTTAACTACTTCAGCTAACATGAACTAAGAATGAACAATACTTCTACAGCATTTATTAATCTTAGTTGATGTTAATTTCAACATTTACTAATGCATTATTAAAATCAAAAGTTGTGCTTGTTAACATTAGTTAATGCACTGTAAATTAACTTGAACTAACGGTGAACAACTGTATTTTTTCATTTACTACACTCTTAAAAATAAACGTGCTTCAAAAGGTTCTTCACAGCGATGCCATAGAAGAACCATTTTGGTTCCACAACGAACCATTTAGTCAAAGGTTCTTTAAAGAACCATCTCTTTTTTACCTTTTTGTAATCTGAAGAACCTTCTTTCACCACAAAGAACCTTTTGTGAAACAGAAAGGTTCTTCAGATGTTGAAGGTTCTTTATGGAACCATTTAGACAAAAAGGTTCTTCTATGGCATCATGAAGCACCTTTATTTTTAAGAGTGTAACATGAACAAAGATGAATAAATACTGTAGCAAATGTATTGTTCATGTTAGGGTGTACTCACACTAGGCGTTTAAAGTTGTGCTTGTTAACATTAGTTAATGCACTGTAAATTAACTTGAACTAACTGTGAACAACTGTATTTTTTCATTTACTACACTCTTAAAAATAAAGGTGCTTCAAAAGGTTCTTCAAGCGATGCCATAGAAGAACCATTTTGGTTCCACAACGAACCATTTAGTCAAAGGTTCTTTAAAGAACCATCTCTTTTTTACCTTTTTGTAATCTGAAGAACCTTCTTTCACCACAAAGAACCTTTTGTGAAACAGAAAGGTTCTTCAGATGTTGAAGGTTCTTTATGGAACCATTTAGACAAAAAGGTTCTTCTATGGCATCATGAAGCACCTTTATTTTTAAGAGTGTAACATGAACAAAGATGAATAAATACTGTAGCAAATGTATTGTTCATGTTAGGGTGTACTCACACTAGGCGTTTTGAATCGTGCCCGAGCGCGTTTGACCCCCAAAGCCCGGTTCGTTTGATTAGTGTGAGCACTCCATGCCGCGTTCAGGCGTGGTTCGTTTAGTCGGCCCTGGCCCGGTTGGAAGAGGTGGGCCAGGGCACGGTTCGGTTGGGCTCGGGCTCGGTACGCATGCAGTGTGAGCGCTAAGCGCGCCGGAGCACGGAACAGATACTATTTTGTGTGCGCTACTGTCATCATTACGACCGCAAACATGTTCTATTACTACTACTACACTACACTTTTTAATTAATTTAATTCAATCAATTATATTTAGGTTTATAATGGCTCTGGTTCTTACCTTATTGATGAACAGGAAATGTAGTTTGCGAGTACAGCTGCAAATTATTTCATTAACGTCAGCTGCCTCCGTAATAATTTTCTGATACATATAAGTGAAAATCAATGCACGTCATAAATGATAAATTAATTATTATTAATTATTCGGCAGAATATTAGTGAAAGTGGTTTTCTCCGTTATTTCATACATGACGTAAGCGTGCTCTGGCCCGTAAAGTTTA